GGCCGGAGCCCCGACGCCGCGCCTCACCGCCCACTCCACGAGGGCCCAAGCCTCCTCGACTGCCTTTCTGGCTCAAGTCCCAATCCAGGACATTTGTAGAGCTGCAGTTTGGTCATCGGTCCACACCTTCGCCGCTCACTATGCGCTTGTACAGCAGTCCAGAGACGATGCTGCATTCGGATCAGCGGTTTTGCACACAGCGATGTCTCACTCCGACCCCACCGCCTAGGTAAGGCTTGGTAGTCACCTAATTGGAATCGATATGAGCAAGCACTCAAAGAAGAAAAAACAGTTACTCACCTTTGTAACTGTTGTTCTTCGAGATGTGTTGCTCATATCCATTCCAAACCCGCCCCCCTTCCCCACTGTCGGAGTAGCCGGCAAGAAGGAACTGAGGGGGCGCTGGGTCGGCTGGGGTATATATCCAGCGCCATGAAGGCGCCACTCCAGGGGACTCCACAGCCGACCCACTGGGTGTTGCTAGGGTAGAAAATTCTCCGATGATCGTGCATGCGGCGCGCACACACCTAATTGGAATGGATATGAGCAACACATCTCAAAGAACAACAGTTACAAAGGTGAGTAACCGTTTTATCTGTTGGACTCTCGAGTGAGTCACCCCCCCTTCCTATTGTCAGTTTGGGACTGTGATGAGGTAATGCTCACCTGACTCTGAAGAGGGCCAGGGGGGAAAGCCAGGAGGGAGAGACATTTGCCATGCTCTTCCTCTCTCTTCCACCTCCGTCTACAGACATCACCACCAAGCGCCTGAAGCACTGATCAAAGGGGAGAGCCTGGCTGAAGGGCAACCAGCCAGCCTGTGATGCGAAGCATCTAAGTTTGAAAGGGCACTGAAAGTGTTAAGATCAGCTTAGAATGTGATTTGCTTTTATTTCCTTTGATCAAATCTGACTTGTTATGCTTTGACTTATAATCACTTAAAATCTTTGTAGTTAATAAATGTGTTTGTTTATTCTACCTGAAACAGTGCATTTGGTTTGAAGTGTGTCAGAGACTCCCCTTGGGATATCAAGCCTGGTACATATCAATTTCTTAGTTAAATTGACAAACTCATATAAACTTGCAGCATCCAGCGCGCATAACTAGATACTGAAAGACGGAGATTCCTTGGGTTGTGTCTGGGACTGGAGATATTGGCTAGTGTCATTCGGTTGCACAATCCAAGGAGCAGCTTACATGCCAGAGGCTGTGCGTGAACAGCCCAGGAGTGGGGTTCTCACAGCAGAGCAGGGTTAGGCTGGCTCCCATAGTCAAGAATTGGAGTGACCTAGCTGATCCAGATAACACCAGAGGGGAACATCACACCCCACGCCTAGGAGTCGGACATGCGGGCCACTTCCGGGTGCAGCGCGGAGCCAGGACTAGTAGGGACTACCCTGCCTGAGACCCACAGCACCGCCGACTGGACTTTTAACGGCTCAGTGAGCAGTGCTGACCAAAGCAGGCATGGTCCCTTTTCGATCGGGCATTCCGGTTGAAAACCGACACTTGGCAACCCTAAACACCATTGTTCTAATCCCTTCAGAACTGCTTCAGCCATTTGTCTATCCAACAAGGGATGTACCATGCAGCGGGGAGCCCTGAACAACAGGACCGGTTCTAGGGTCCCATTATTTTGGGGGCCTTGGATGTGGCTATTTGAAAAACAAACAATCTTCCAGGAGTCCAGGGGCTTCTTAGACTTCTGGAAAATCCTGGAGTTTAAGCAGTTAAATAGGTAACATTTGGCTTCTGGTTCAGTAGTTTCCTGAGATTTATCATTTCTAGAAAGGATGATGATTCTCCAATCTGTTGCTTAATACAGGATAAAGCTGTACTTATTTTGGCCTTTCTGACAATAACTTGGGCCCCTTGACGAACATCTGGGAAGGGCAAACACCCCCTTTGCCCTCCCAGTAGTGCTGGCCCTGCTTAACAAACCGGTTTTGCTGTGGTTATTGAGGGACTCTGATTGCACGATGGTGCTAGGGAGGAAGAAGGAATAAGAAGCTCTCTCCTGCCCCCACACGTGGGTTGCTTTCACCTTGGCAGAAGGCCCATCCCCTCCCAAAGCAGGTGTGTAGGCAGTGGGGGGCATGTATGAAATCTTGGGTCCCTCTCCACTCCTCCCTGGTTAGAGCTGCTGAGCTGGGAAAAGCAATGTGCTGGTGGCCCTGGCTTGCAGCACACAGAGGTGGATTAAGCTTTTGTGGGGCCCTCGGCCCTAGCAAGTGGGGGCCCTCCATACCCCTTCTGCCTGCAATCCCCCCAGGCTCCTGCTGAGGAGTGGAGCTGCGCACGGGGCTTGCCCTACTCACTGGCAGGAGCACCGGGCGGGCGGAGTGGGTTGGGTGCGGGGGTGCCCATTTTTCTGGGGCCCCCCCAATTGGCCAGGACCCCTGGGCACAGGCCCCATTGGCCCAGTGGCTAAATCACCACTGTGAGCACAGTACTATCCCTCCACCTCCCAGAGCAAGACAGTAGCAGGACAGTGATCCTTTCACCAAAGGGCATCTGTGAGGAACACTGTCCTCCAGAGCTACTTCTTGGGCAACACAGGGCATGTCTCACTCCTTGGCTAGGGCTCGGCTAAAGGCATGATCTAGCCCTACATGTCCCTGGTGAATTCAGTAAGAGGACAGTGTCGCCCCTGCCTTGCCACTAGAGTTTTGTACTGTTGTTACTCACCACCTCCCATGGATCAGGAGGGAAATCCCCCTGGGACCACAGGAGGGGGAACAAGATGTTACACTGCATGAGTGTCTCTTATGCAGGGATCCCAAATGGGCCATTAACTTCCCTCTCTCCTTCTCATAACACAAGAACTAGGGGTCATCAAATGAAATTAATAGGCAGCAGATTTAAAATAAAAAAAAAGGAAATATTTCTTCACACAATGCACTGTGGAACTCCTTGCCAGAGGATGTTGTGAAGGCCAAGACTATGACAGGGTTCAAAAAATAACTAGATAAATTCATGGAGGACAGGTCCATCAATGGCTATTAGTCAGGATGGGCAGGGATGGTGTCCTAGCCTCTGTTTGCCAGAAGCTGGGAATGGGTGACAGGGAATGGATCACTTGATGATTACCTGTTCACTTCCTCTGGGGCACCTGGCATTGACCACTGTTAGAAGATAAGATATTGGGCTAGATATACCTTTGATCTGACCCAGTATGGCTGTTCTTATGTTCTTATGCTATGTCTCTGGCCCACACAGCCACAGCATCTGAGCCCCTCACCATCCTTAATGTGTTTATCCTCACACACCCCTGGGAGGTAGGGCAAAGCTGCTATACCATTGTACAGCTGGGGAACTGAGGCGCAGACAGGCTAAGGGGCTTGCCTGAAGTCACCAAGGAAGTTTGTGGGGAGCCCTTGAACCCCAGCATCCCAAGCTTCCCCGTCAGTAATCCGCCTGTCTCCTGCCTGTTGCTGCAATGCAGCTCTCTGCCTGTGACTGTGGGCTGTAATGAGCCCCTTCCCGCCCCATGGCAAAGGCCTGTTCCTGCAATGCCACCGAGCCCAGCGTGCACTAGCACCCCCAGCCTCTGCTTGCCCATCAAAAGGGTGTTTCAAGCACAGAACAGGCAATTGGGAGATCTGAGTGGCAGGTGCCCAGCTCTGGCATTGACTTACTGTGTGACCACAGGCAAGTCATGTTCCCCCTCAGTGTCTCAGTTTCCCAGAGTGGTCGTGAGGACTAATGGTCAGGGTGTGCTTTGAGATCCTCCTATGGAAGGACAGGGTACTGTTAGGCTTTCTGGATCAACTCCACAAAGGAGGTTTGGAGCCTAAATACCTCTGTGAATCTGGGCCTCGGTTTCATAGATCACAGCCCCTCACTTCCCCGAGTACCTTCCCCTTCGTGTTCTGACTTGAATCCAGTCCTGTCCCAGCACCAGGGTCCCAGCAAAGTGCTGAACACCAAAGGCATCTGATCAGCTGAGATGACATCAGAGAGCTAATGAGCATGGGGCCAGATCAGCAAGGGCGGGTGCCCTGGCAGCAGACGAGGTGAGAGGATAGTACAACAATTCATTTGTGTTACCAGTTCCCGTAACCTCCTCCGCTCTGCCCGATGCTGTGCTGAAGCTGGTATTCTGAAATTAATCAGTGTAATTAAAGTATGGCATAGCTTGTCTCAGCCTCCACATGCAATGGCAGCTGGCCAGGGACCTGAGTGAGGAAGTTTCTGGCTGTTAATTTACAAAATAAAATAAGGCAGGCTGGCTTGTCTGTAGAGCTGTTCCAAGCTGTGGAGTCATCTATTATACAGAGATACCCACTGTCTGTCAGGAAAGCATCATAGCACCTTTCATGCTACTACAATCACATCTGTGCAAGCCAGAAGCCATTCCTGTGATGATGCACCCAGCACTACCTCGCTACAGCCCCCTTTGTCCAGGCCACCAGTCCAGCACCTGGAGGTGGCATGCAGGAGATGCTACTTATGGCAGATGGCCCCTGGTGGAAGATAGGAAGAGACCAGAAATAAGGTGCCCATTTTTCACAGTGAGGGTAATTAAACATTAAAACAATTTACCTAGGGTTGTGGTGGAGTTTCTATCACTGGCAATTTTAAAATCAAGATGGGTGTTTTTCTAACAGATCTGCTGGGAATTAATTAATTCAGGGAAGCCCTGTGGCCTGTGTTGTACAGGAGGGCCCTTGTATGATCACAGTGTTTCCTTCTGGCCTTATAATCTATGACTCTATGACCCTCAGGTGATGTGCATTGTAGGGACGGGGGTGAATTGGTGATACCAGCTGATGTTCCAGCTTGTCAAGATTCTGAGCTCCTTGGGGCAGGGATCATCTTTCAGTTCTGGGTTTGTATAGCGCCTGGTACAGCGGGGTCCTGCTCCATGGCTGAGGTTCCTAGTCACTATGGTAATACAGATAATACATCCAACAATAATAGCAGCCTGATAGAGACAAGAAATAGCTTCCCTGGCAATTAAGCCCTTAACTGACTGGTGACTGATCTTTGTTTTGTAGGCGTGTACATGGGACCAGGGATTTCAACAGTGCCCTAGAATCTTTTAATGCATGCAGTGCTTCGTCTGCCTTCGAAGCGAGTAAGACACAGCCTTGAAGGGGAGAGTTCCAATGGTCTGTTGTACTTCCGCGGGAATCCCTGGTGACTGGAAATAAGGTGAGTTTTTAGTCACAACATTAACTACTTTATTAGTGCCACTAATACCAATTTGTAAGTAGACTGCCAGGATCAGACGGGCCAGCTGTCAGACACTATGGGTAGATTGGGGCGACCAACCGATATGCTGGGGCTTTGCACATACATGGGCATTTGTGAGACCTCTGCTGTGTGCCAAGCAGCAGCTGGGTTCCATGCAGTACATTCTCCCTGCCCTGGGATGATTTCAGCCCTGGCATCATCCCAGAAATGCCCGTTGAGTTCCCCAGCCAGGTGAATTTGGTGCATGGGTCAGGGTGACAGTGCTCCAGGGCTGGCAGGTGTGGTGAGGAGGTGGCAGGGGGTGCCTTGTTGTTATTGCTGTGCATCGTACAGAGAGGCAAGGCATGTGATACCCATCAGGGGCCAGCCTATCAAGAGGTGTAGCAGGAGCTGTGTGGCAGCCTAGTGTTTCTCGTTCATGGGGCATTTCCAGAGGGGCTGCGGCACCCCCACTGCCCCAGCAGTGAAGCGTTTTAGTCAACAAGCAGTGAGGCGCCATGTTGGTTGTAGTGCAGTCCAGGGCTCTCCAGGAGTTCCCAGAGGCTTCTTCCACCAGTTACCCTGCACCCCAAGCCTCTCCATGCCCCATGCATGGCAGCTGCCCGCACGCCTTTCTTTGCCACGTGGAATAAATTCAACCAGGATCATATTTGCAGATGACACCAACTCCCCAGGCCAAGAGAGCCAACCTGGGAAGGGGCTGGGAGATACCAGAGCAGTGGGGGCTGGGATAGAGGAGGGGGCATCCTCGGGAAGGCCCAGTCTGCACAAAGACAGGGGAGGATGTAACCAACAGCAGCAGCCAACTGGACTGAAGCCACTTCAGTCTCCTGCCCCTTATGTGACTGCGCCCTCAGGTAAGAGCCCTGGCATTGCTGCTGGGGAGGGGAGTGAGCTGGGAGAGGAGCTGGCCTTCCAAGAGGATCCCGAGTCAGCGCAGAGCTCAGGGGTAGCCTATTCCCTTGCTGTCCCTGTGGAGGATAGGGGAGGAGATCTCTCCAGACCTGTCTCCATGCATCCTACCTCAGATACACACCCTCACAGACCCACTGGGCCATTCTGCATATGGCCAGTCACTTCCCCATTGCTCTCCTGCCAGGATGAGCCCCTGGCCTAACCAGCAGAGCTATCATGGACTTGGACCCCTAGAGAAATGTTTAGCCTTCCAGGATCTCTACCAATACCCTCACGCCGGTCTAGGGCATGAACAATCACAGCCAGGAGCTCTGGTTCACAGCAGAGCACCCAGAGATCAGCATGCCTCTTTGCTGCATAATCGTGAGCACTTGATCCCACCCACCACCCTGCACCAGGACACAGAGGCAGCCCTGACCTCCAGGGGAATTGGGGCCTTGACCGAGCACGAGAATAATTCAGCCTCCAGAGTCAATGAATCCTAGAATTCTCACATTGTTGCCTCAGTTGACACCGAGCACTAACCCTGGCCTCACTGGCCTGCCCCTCCCTGGAAAAGGTCAGAAGGGAATTTGGTCTGTGGGTTAAACAAGGAGTGCAGGCCTGTCCCCACCCCTGGGGTATGGGCCCCTAACTCAATGCCTGGCCTTTGGCAACTCCTTGGCAGAGGGCACTATATGCCCAGTGTTGTTATAATTGGCACAGAGGTCCCCATTAGGGACTCACTGAACACATAAGATGGCCAAGCCCAGCATTTGGGATCTTAGGTCCATCTGTTCTTGACCAGACCAAAAGGCCAAGGGGAGATTTAGGGAATTTGCCCACTGAGGACTCAGCCAGCTCAGCCAGCCTGGGAGCCAGTTATTCCTTTTCAAAGAGCAAAGGGCGTTTTAAGGAATCGGTACTAGGTCTCTCTCTCTCTCTCTGCTCAACACCTGTTCTGGATCACATGTGATCCGGGGCAGGGAGGAAAGAAGGACGGGCCAAGGGAATGACATGGCTTCCACCTTAAACCAAAGCTAACCACCCCCAACACATGGCACGTCCTCCATGACAATAATTCCATTGGCCATAATCTGGAAATCCCTCCATTTTACAGATCCAGTTCCCCCCCAATACAATGACAGACACAGTGGGTGGCACCTACCAGGCTGGGATCAGATTCCTGGCCAGGAATCTCTCCAAGCTCTTCCTCAGCTTCATCCCCAAGCAGGTCCTTGGAAAATAGCCCCAGGACACCCGCTAGCCCAACCAGATGAATAGGCTGACCCTGAGCTTCCAGGTTCGCAGAGTGATCCTGTTCCTGGGACTCCACCACAGTATCACCCACTGGACTTGATCATCAGACAGGTCAGGTTCAGGCTGACACCCTGGGCAATGGTGGGCTCTGGGCTTGGGCAGTGCCAAGTGCCTGCTCGATTTCCAAGTAGCAGGGTCACAGAGAGGGCTCGCTGCCAGATTTGTGGTTTGTAAGCATGGCTTTGCAATCCAACTGTGTGAGTCCACCGCAGCACGCATGTCAGAGAATGACAAGAGAGTGGAGCATGTGGGAAACAAAGGGTTAAATGCCAAGGTAGCTGCCAGTGCATAGAGGGCACGTGGGAAGTTTGTATGGAGAAGCCCCAGAAGATACAAGGACAGGGAATTATGGGGAAAGCAGTGGAGGACTATCTATGCTTCAGCCCAAGTACCTGTGCTTTTGCTATCACCACACTGCAACATGGACAACAAGGGGCAGGTCCCAGCTCAAGCCATGCATCTGACCACATGTGCCAGATGAACTCTCCAGCTTGGAATCTACTACCTCAGACATGCATTTAAGGCTGTGCGTGTGGACTGTGGGGGTACGGGTGCCTTCACATGCTCCACTCACAAACAGCCGGCAGTATAGACATACACTACACCCACCGAGTAGCACTAGCCTACACGATGGGCTAAGCACCCATAGGTAGGACTCCTAGGTCCTCCTTTCCCACCCACATTTGAAAACAGGGCCCCTTCAGCCATTCATCGCTGGGCTTCACCCCCATGGGTCCGCCAGTGGGTCTGGATAACGTCACTGAGGGGAGATACACCCTCGTAAATCACGGGAGCCTGTGGGCCTGATTCTAATCACCACCCCCAGGACAGCACCACTAGAGATTCAGCTGGGTCCTGCTCATGTAAGTGAGCCATGACTCCGGCCCAGCATGTGGAAACCCAAACAGAAGCAGCCGGCCCCCTCCTTTAAACCAGGGACTCTGACACGCCTCTGTTCTGATGCCAGGAGCTGTCTCTCCTCTGAGATGCAGCCTCGCTCATGCACTGACTGCCTTGCTCTGTAGAAGCCACAGATTCCAATTCCTGTGTGCTCCTTACTCTAGTGGTTTATTTGCCAGACACTGTGGCTTGGCACGTGCCCCTGGTCTTCTCTGTGAGTGTGCTAGTGGCCCAGGGTAAACAAACAGTCTTTTTGTTATGGCTGCTGCCTCTTGCCACTGCACCTGTCTTGGCTGGCCCCATCCTGCATGTAGCATGGCTGGGGTGGTTAAGTTTCACCCCTGTGGTCATTGTGGAATCATCTTCTCCAGCTGCTTGCGGAAAATGAAATGGAAACAACAAACAAACAAGAAGCATGTACAGCTTGGCTGGGTTTGTTCACTGAAAACAGAGATGGCTGCTCTGTGATAAGCTGCTACCAAAACCATACACTCAAATGAAGTGGCATGGGAAGAAGGAGAAGACCATGGAGCTGCAGAGTGCTGGGCTGATGAGCAGATCTTCTGGTGGAGAGAGTAATCTGTTTACAACTCCTTCACAACTACCTCCAGGGAGTCCTGGGGAGGTAATCAAGGTGGTCTAGAAGGATCCCCATTCTTCTACTGGTGAGATATAAAGCTATGGTCCTATGGCAACTACCACCCCTACCTTTACATTCCACCTCCCCAGAGGCCTCTTTCAGCTGGAGACTGTGGGCCTTAACCCGTGAAATGCATTGAAGCTATCCCAGTTCACACCTCTGCAGGAACTTTCACACTGAGGCCCAAGATGTTAAATGGCTTGTCCAGCTCCGTACCCTATCCCCCACCCCTTGGAGCTTCTATGCTGTGGATCAACCCCAGCCGGAGTAACCTAGTTGTTGTACTTCTTGGGATTTGACTTTTTTTCAAGCCAGCCTCATGTTACCATATGTAGCGATTTAAAATATAAACTTATTCCATGGAACTAGCATCAGTGGTTTTAGCAGCCCTGGCGATTTGGAAATTGCTGAAACAGGCAAGAGACAAGGTCATCATCCTCATCCTGCCTCCCCAGTGAGCAGTGTAGTTTAGTGGTTAGAACAGACAACTTTATTCCCAGTTCTCCCACTGACTCATTCTGTGACCTTGTCCTCTCTCTGTGCCTGTTTCCCCATCTCTAACATGGGGAATGGGACAGTACCTGCCTCCCAGATGGTTAGGGAGCTGTACCTATCTGTCACTTACACATAAGAGGGAAACAGGGGTTAAACCCAGTTCTCCTAAAAGCTGAGGCCCATGTCAGTGGTGTGCTTAGTGCCAGCAGCCTTCTCTGAGCTGAATGCCAGTTGCTGTCCCTGCTGCAGTTTGACCCTCTCCCGGAGAAGCATTAATTACCCTGCAGATGCCAGAAGGGATTTAAACGTCACCTGTTCCATTTTCCTTCCATAGTATTGAGCAGCCCCATTCTTCCAAGCTCCTCCCAGACCAACTGCCCTCCCCAGCGTCATGAAACCAATTCTTGCCTCAGATCTCAAACTCCAGCACAGACTCAGCTGCCACATCTCCCTGGAGTCACAGGAGCTCATCTCATTCCCTTCCCCCAGAGACCCATGCTCAGACTTGTACGAGACCCCCTTTGGCCTGGATCGAGGGTTGTGCATAGCAAAACGGGTGAGATAGCTGGGGGCTGGCCCAAAGGGTGTGAAACAACAGGCCTTATCCTGAAAAGTGCTGAGTACTCTGCACCCCAGTGAGAGCTGAGTGCTGTTAATACCATGCAACATCCGCACCAGAGAGCTGAGCCATTGGTAACTGAACTGGTGG